CCTGTCGGGACGACAGAGCTTCAATGAACGCTGTCAAGATTCGCAGCGTCTTTTAAGCTGGTTGAGAGAAGTGAGGCACCTTGACAAAGGGGTTTACATATCAAACAGGAGAATTTATCAATGCTAAATTCTCGCAGTTTAAGCAATGCTAAATTCTCCTGTTTGATATGTAAACCCCTTTGCCAAGGTGCCTCACTTCTCTCAACCAGCTTAAAAGACGCTGCGAATCTTAACAGCGTTCATTGAAGCTCTGTCGTCCCGACAGGTTTGTTCCTTTCACCTGAAGAAGGCCACTTGTGTTGTGGCCGAAACGTCGTGAGAATTATATTGTTATTTTATTTTATTATTTTATTCTCATTCTACTTGACTTTACCGAAAGAACCAAAGAAGATGAATCCTTGCAGTCACGAAAGCTTTAAATCGAAATATATATTTATTTTAAAATTAATCTAAACTAGCTCGCGGGTTTCTCATTTTGTTGTTGTTTCTTCGTGCGTAAAGGAGAGAGGCGTGGGTTGGTGGTGGTGGTGGGGGAATGTCTTTCATGTCCTTCTCCGCGCGCCGTCGCTCCGCTCCATGGAATTCGCCTGAGTGGCATCGACGGCCGAGTCGGGACACGCAGCGTCGTCTCGGGGTGCAGGGAACGAACTAACAGGGGGGTAGGGGACAATACGGAGCGGCCGTGAGCGATGTGCGTGACTGACACCGCCCGCTCAGTCGTTATTGAATTTTGAATGGCCACGAGCGCATACCTGGTGTCCGCGATTGCGTGATGTTATATTTTATGAGCCTCCGTGTATCGCTTTACAGAAAATATGCTTTTACAATGGGCAAAACAATAATCTCGCAGTTTAAGGCTGCGAGTTGTGCGCTTTCATGACCCTTGTTATGAAAGTTGATTACCACTGATTCCGAAACGCTATAGTGAGCGCGCTGCACTACGAACCCGGCCAACCCTAAGTTCGATTCCCAGCCACGGTGAATGTCAGTGACGAGAGAAATCTGTACCGGGAACGGAATCACAGGCACGGATTATTCTGAGTCTCGACTGAATGTCGTCACCCAATTGCTCAAATGGGCAGCACACGTTGTGAGAACAGCTGAGAAAAGAGCTTCGTAGCGCATCGGATTCTTCCAGGATAAATATAGATTCTCAAAACTCCGGAGTGCAGAGCCAAGAGAGAAGGGAAGAGAAGCAGATAGAGAGACCGCGGGAGAGATGGCAGCAGCAAGCGAGACGACATCACGGAGTTGAGAGGTCACACCAGGACAGGAGCAGCTGGGGAGAGTCCTCTACTGCCATACTCTTTGGTTCTTTCAGTAAAATTGTATAACACAAAATAATGTATTTTGTTTTATACCTACGTGACTTTACCGAAAGAACCGAAGAGTATGGATCCCTGCAGTCACAAAAACCTCAAATCCAGATTAGTCCTACTACCACTTTTTATTTTACCAGATAAGGCCCACTGAGCTGTATAGCCCTTTTTCAGAAGCGACCTGGCCGCAAATGATAGCTCAACGGCATGTACAGCAGCCAAATTCTCTAAAACGCATGTGGTTTGTTTTTGGGAAGGAAAAATCGGTGGACCCGGAGAACAATCCACGCGACCACGGGGAGAACACGCAAACTCAAAGTATACAGGCGTCAGGGTTGGGATCGAACTCACGACCTCCTGTACATCAGCCGAGGTAGTTAACATCTCCTAGCCACCGTGATGATGAGACAGAGAGACGCAAACTCCAAATATACACCAGGTGTTAGGGTCGGGATCGAACCCACGACCTCCGGTATACCAGACGAGGTAGTTAACATCTCCTAGACACCGTGGCCCACAAAGGTGACCGGGCTGAGACCATCAGCTCACTACACGCAGGTGGTTGGAACCACAGAAACGGCAGCTCTCAGGCTTTTCGACTTCAGCAATGTCCCCATGGTTTTTTTTTTAGAATGAACGTTGGAGCTGGGCCACTGCAGCTGTAATTATTGTCTTGTTTAAAAAATAACCTTTGACCGCTCCTCACTTGTATCGACCACGTGCCAAGCAGTCTCTGAGCGCGTCAATGTTTACGAGTTCAGTTGGCCCGGGCCAATCATTGCACTCCGTTTACTCAAGTGCACTTGCAAGCCAAGTGCTCATCATTATCAGCCATGGTCAGTCCACTGCTGGATGAACGCACCCCACGAGGCAGCACGCCGGACTTGCAATCTAGAGGCGGCGGGCTCAATTCTATCTCCCCTTGCGGCAGTTCAAACCACGGGGCACATTTCTTGAATCCCCCACCCCCACACGCCGCTCACCTCCGCGTGTGTACCGTGCAATGCGTCAGTGGGTGTACAAAGGAGTCGTGTGTATTGGGTGACCCGGGTCAGCCTTGCAAGCGAGACTCGGCTGGCCTATTGACATCTCACCCCGTTGGACAACATTCACTTGAACTCGATGGGTAGGTCGCCGTGTGGTTGGCCACTCTCACACCTTACAGGTCGTCTCGCTAGCTTGGAGGAGTAGGCCAAAAACACCTGGGGGGGGGGGGGGGGCACTCCAGAGCTCTCACTCGTGATGGCCCCTTCTGCCAGCAGTGGCGTGAGCGACCAATTGCGGGGCTGCCCCTTCACCTTTTTATTTCGGTTTGAGGTTTCAGGAATGAGGCGCGAGCTGCGTGTATGGTGTGTGTGGTGTGTGTGTGGTGTGTGTGTATATGTATGGGGTCTGTGTGTGGGGTGTGTGTGTGTGTGGTGTGTGTGGTGTGTGTGTATGGGGTGTGTGTCTGTGGTGTGTGTGGTGTGTGTATGGGGTGTGTGTGTGTATGGGGTGTGTGTGTGTGGGGTGTGTGTGTGTGGGGTGTGTGTATGTATGGGGTGTGTGTGTGGGGTGTGTGTGTATGGGGTGTGTGTGTGTATGGTGTGTGTGGTGTGTGTGGTGTGTGTGGTGTGTGTGTGTGGTGTGTGTGGTGTGTGTGTATGGGGTGTGTGTGGGGTGTGTGTATGGGGTATGTGTGTGTATGGGGTGTGTGTATGGGGTGTGTGTATGGGGTGTGTGTGTATGGGGTGTGTGTATGTATGGGGTGTGTGTGTGTGGGGTGAGTGTATGGGGTGTGTGTGTATGGGGTGTGTGTGGGGTGTGTGTATGGGGTGTGTGTATGGGGTGTGTGTATGTATGTATGGGGTGTGTGTGTGTGGGGTGTGTGTATGGGGTGTGTGTATGTATGGTGTGTGTGGGGTGTGTGTATGGGGTGTGTTTGGTGTGTGTATGGGGTGTGTGTATGGGGTGTGTGTGGGGTGTGTGTATGGGGTGTGTGTGTATGGGGTGTGTGTGTGTGTATGGGGTGTGTGTGGTGTATGTGTGTATGGGGGGTGTGGTGTGTGTATGTATGGGGTGTGTGTGGTGTGTGTATGGGGTGTGTGTGGTGTGTGTGTGTATGGGGTGTGTGTATGGGGTGTGTGTGGTTTGGGTGTATGGGGTGTGTTTGGTGTGTGTGTATGTATGGGGTGTGTGTGTGTATGGGGTGTGTGTGGTGTGTGTATGGGGTGTGTATGGTGTGTGTGTATGGGGTGTGTGTGGTGTGTGTGTATGGGGTTTGTGTGGTTTGTGTGTTTATGGTGTGTGTGTATGGGGTGTGTGTGTGTGTGTATGGGGTGTGTGTGGTGTGTGTATGGGTTGTGTGTGGTGTGTGTATGGGGTGTGTGTGGTGTGTGTATGGGGTGTGTGTATGGGGTGTGTGTGTATTGGGTGTGTGTGGTGTGTGTATGGGTGTGTGTGACACGCACTCTGTGTCAGCAGCCCGGGTTACACATTAACCGCGGCAGGTTACTCATTAACCCGGACAGGTTCAATATGGGCCAAGGGAAAGCGACTGTCGGACAAATAAACAATGCAGCAGGCACGTGACGAGTGCCGTCACACTCTCGCTCGTCGTCATGCTGCACTAGACGAGTTTCCCTCGCTTTATGCGGGTTCGGTTCGTGCGGTGAACCCATTTCTGCCCAAATGTTCGCTATATCGTATTGTGCGGTAGGAAGTCACTCAAATGCGGAAAACATTTTATGTGGACAAAGTTTGACTGGCTGGCTGGCTGGTTGGCTGTCTGTAGGGAGGAGGTAAGGGTTTGATCCATGACACAACACGGTCACCCGCGTGGCTGTGGAGAATATAAGCAACGGAATAATGAAACAGGCAAATAAACCTCCTCCTTCCCTTGCCTCTCCCTCCACATCAAAATTCAAGTGTTTTGTTAGTCTGTTTAAACATCCCATCAGCCACATTGCACGGCATTCTTGGAGTGATTTGTGTTACATTTTGTTTCAGCAGCGTCCTGTGGAATTCCCACCAAAGGCTTGGCTCAGCGAGGGCCGTGCATCGGCCGTCCCTCGTGGTTCATCACGACGACCGCACTCACGACTCCACCACTCCCCTCCCTGTAGCTCACAACAGTGGGGGGGTGGGGGGGGAAAAGCTTCTGCCTCTGCTGTATAATTCCAGTAGCCTGCCAGTGGCAGCCGCACACGCACCGCATACCACGAGCACACAACTGGAAATTCAAGTTTCTCGCAGCCGCAGCAGCAGCAACAGCAGCCGCAGCAGCAGCCGCAGTCACGACGGTTCTCGCTCGGCCCATCACGGGGCGATGAGCTGCGGGTTTTGCCATCGGCACAATAAGCGCAGGTGGCTCCCGTGACCCCCCCCCCACCAACGCACGACTCGGGATCGATGTCTGTGTCCTGGACCAACAGCGGCCAACCCCCAACTGCCCGGTTTGAAATTATCGATCACAGTGAAATTCCATTTGTGCCCGGCCGCCCTCTGGCTGGCTCGTCCTGGTCCCGAGTGCGTGGCGATTCACGTTCCCACTCCTCCACCCCCCACTCCTCCTACTCCTCCTCCACCCCCCCCACTTACCCTCCTCCCCAGTCCAGCTCCGTGGACCCGGTTACAGCCGTGGGCTGGCTGCGTGGAGTGTCGCTGGCAGCGGCTGTAAGGTGAGAGCAGTGAGGCCACAACCCCCCTCCACCTCTTCCCAAGTCGCTAGCCTACAACCGGCTGCGTCCACATCGCACAGGCGTGGTGTGTACAGTTTGGGGTGCGGCAGGGTTTGACTGTGGCTGTGTGGTTAGTGATGGTGGGTTTGGTGGCTTGGTGATGGAGCTTTTAGAGGAATGACGACGGAATGCGGCTTTGCCGCCTTCAAAGGACAGGCGTGCCGCCGGCATTCGTTCTGCGAGGGTGATCATCGGCCACACTCGTGGTGACACTTGGGGTGTGTGTTGGGGGGGGGGGGCCTTCTGGCTAGAGGAGGAGCCACCACCAGCACCACCACAGGTGGACTGCATTGTCGGAACGAGGGGCGGGGGCGAGTGCTCGCTGCTGTCCGTGCTGCACGGGGCTGCTAGCTGACTCTGGCGGTGTTGTGGGGAGTGGTCGCAAAAGTGCCACTCGGTGGCCGTCCACTCAAACGAAACTTGGTAAGAGCGAAGACTAAAAAAAAACTTTTAAAAAAAGAGCAGCAGCAGCAGCAATGTGAAGTTGAGACTTGGCTGTGGATGAGCGAGGAGCCCGTGAAGCGAGCGAGGACGGAAGGTTTGGGGCGGCCGTCTCCGGCCAGCCGAGCGTCCACTGCGACCGGGCTAGCCGGCGTCCCGTCACCTCGGGGTCGCTGTCTGTGACGCTCCGCGAGCAATGCGGGGCAGCAGGGTATAGTCAGTGTTGGGGTGGAGAGGCGTGTGCCAGGTCGGTTGTTTACTCGCCGTGTGCTTTGGAGGAGTTCGCCGACGCCGGAGACTTTTGCCTCGTCTGCGGAGATGGGGCATCACCAACAGGTGTGTGTGTGTCTGTGTGTTCTCTCGTGTGTGTCTGTGTGTGTGTACTCTCGTGTGTGTCTGTGTGTACTCTCGTGTGTGTGTGCCTGTGTGTACTCTCGTGTGTGTGTTCTCTCGTGTGTGTGTGTCTGTGTGTACTCCCGTGTGTGTGTTCTCACCAAGAGGTGTGTGTGTGTCTGTGTGTTTTCCCGTGTGTGTGTGTCTGTGTGTTCTTTCGTGTGTGTCTGTGTGTACTCTCGTGTGTGTGTCTGTGTGTACTCGTCTGTGTGTACTCCCGTGTGTGTTTGTGTGTACTCCCGTGTGTGTGTGTCTGTGTGTACTCCCGTGTGTGTCTGTGTGTACTCCCGTGTGTGTGTTCTCACGAACAGGTGTGTGTGTGTCTGTGTGTTCCCTCATGTGCCGTGCCGGCCTTCATAAGTGCTACTCGCTCACAGCACTCGCCCCAACAGTCTGTTCAGGCTGTACGCGGGATCTTTGTCTTTATCTGCGTTAGTCCGACTGTATCCTTGCCATTCTCTCTGCTCGTCTGTGTGGGGAGCGGTCGTGTAGTGGCTGGCGCTGAACCCGGAGAGCCCAATTCGATTCCCACTCAGGGCCAACAACAGCAGTGGCGATTATCTGAACCGATCCTGGGCCTCCCCCTAGGTCGACTCGGCCTCAAATGGGTACACGGTGCTGTGTGTAAAACGTCAGCGCCGGGGAGACAAAGGCAGCCGAGCGTGGTGTCAGTTTATTGAACTCATTTCGCACGCAATGTAGCCACCCACCACCACCCCCTTGTGTGCCATGCCGGCCTTCATAGGCGCTGCTTCTGCTGCTGCTCGCAAACAGCACTTGCCCCGACAGTCTGTGAAAGGGGCCTACACTGGGGATCTGTGCATGTCGCGTGAACTCAGACCGCACGTGTCGCTTTCTAGTGAAAGCGACACCTCTGTTCAGCCCGGCGCGCTGTTTGGCTGCTGCTAGGCGGCTTCGCCACGCGGCGCGCCACGTGGTTGCCTGGCGCCGGGTAAACCCAAATCAGTTGTTGAAGGAACATTTTGGGATGTTGTTGTTGTGTCCGCATCGTGTCCCGACGTTTCGGCGCCGAGGCGCGTTGCGTCAGGCACTCCACGCGGTCGCTGTTCACCTCAACGGCAGCCGTACGCAGAGGAAGTGCCGACTGTCTCGTCTGCGTGCGTGCGTGCGGTGCCAAAGCGACCGTGTTGGGACTACGTTGAGGTCCGTTTACGCGTGAACTTGGTTTACGCGTTAACTCGGTGAACGCGTGAGCAGCGCGATTTACGCGTGAGCTCGTGAGCTCGTGAACTCGGTTTACGCGTGAACTCGGTTTACACGTGAAATCAGTTTACGCGTGAACTTGGTTTACGCGTTAACTCGGTGAACGCGTGAGCAGCGCGATTTACGCGTGAAGCACAAAGTGCCGGCTCGGCCTGTCCACTCGCGTTCACCGCCCTACAGTGCACAACTGTTAATCCGCCCCCGTGCCCCTCCAGCTCTGTGTGTCCGTGTGGCAGCCACGTTGCAGGTTGACTTGCGGATTAACGCGTCCACGCGCGGCTGCGGCTGAGAGCTTTTGGACACACGGGGCGGCGGGTTGATGCCGTGCCCGTGCCGAGGGTACAGTAATCCCACCGGGCACGCGGGGGACAACAGGCGGATAAACAAACAGGCGGAGACACAACCAACAGGCGGGCACGTCAAAGTCCCGGTGGGGGAGGGGGGGGGGGGCGTGCGGGGTGTGTGGGCAACGTGTTCCGCACGCGATTGGGTTGGAACCGCGGGAGCCGATCGATCCTCGCCCGCTGTGCAACGGCCGCGGGGCCCCGTGGCGACCGCGGCGGCCTCGCTGGAGGGTCTGGCCGCACCGATGGCCACGGCTCCATTGACCCGGCTGCTGGCGAGCGAGTTCGCCTGCCCGCACGCTCTCCCCCGCTCTCTCTCGCCCGCTCTCTCTTCCCTGGTTGTTGTTGGCAGAGGTCTCGGGGCGTGAATGACGACGCCTCGGAGGGGGGGGGGGGGAGACTGCGGCCACGTCGTCTTTTCCCCGGCTACCGGCAAATATTTTGCGTGCGCCAGAACCTTGCGACCCTGCGGAGTCGTCGGGTTGGCGAGAGGAGCCGGCAGCGGCGTGCGGGCAACGCGAATCGTTCACAGCGCAGAGTCGATGGTCCGGGGGGGGGGGGGGGGGGGGCAACGTTCGTTACGCGGAAATTATTTTGACCCGCTATTGATTTGTGTCTGCGCAGTCTTTTTGATTTTACTTCTCGTAACGTCGGTCGTGTTTTTTTTGCTCCATCGCCGCCGTGCTTTGAATGTTTTTTTTTATGTTATTGCTTTTGCACGTTTTTTGCCCTTCCAGGTCACTCGTGCGTATGAGATGCCAACGCTGGTCTCTTGAGTTTCTCCCCTGGTTAAACAAAAGTCACTTAAACTTCGAGCGACGTCCCCAGGCAATGGCCCTTGTGCCGGGAAAACTTCTGCAACGGTTTTGTTTTGTTTACAGGTTTTGTTGAAATCTTATTGGATGTTGTGCGCGGTTTAGTAACATGCATCGTGTGCTGTGTGTGCTGTGTGTTTCTTACAGACTTCCTTCGCTCTGAATTCCAGCAAGGCAACGTGCTTATATTTACGACGCGGCCTTTCAGCTCGCACACAAAGCAATACAATTTATTGACCACCAATTGAGAGGTGGGATTGCATTGCCCCTCCGAACATTCCGCACCAGCGCTCGACGCTGAATTACAACGCCAACCTCCAAAGGGACCAGGAACTGAGAGGGAGTAAGCGTGGCAGCGAGAGGCACAAGCAAACCGAGGTTAAGCATAGGGCCCCAAGCAGCTCAAGGGGGTGAGGGCAGGGGGGACGGGCAATCCAGGCTTTGCTGGAATTAAAATCCTAATAAACAACACGAGATAATTAACATTACACGCCAGTTCATCTCCTGCCCCTCTTGTTGTTGTTGTTGTTGCTGCTGCGTGTCTCTCATCTCGCTGCGTCTCTGTCCCTCTCTGTACCTCGCCTGGCATCTGTCTCGGTCTCTTCTAAAAATTTCGCTCCACCTGTCTCTCGCCTACACATTTTCTTGACTCGCCACACCCCTGCCTCTCGTCCCCGCACAACCGCTTCCCATCGGGGCCTCCCAAATGGGCCCGCAGCGGCATTGGGCACCGACGCAGGCCTAGCACGCCCGCAAAAAAGCCTTTCTTGGGGCGACGGACTCCCAACAGTGCTCGGCGAGCCGCGACCGATCGACGTCGGCAATGGCGGACGGGGGCGGCCGGTGCCGCATCTGCAGCTTGGAGCTGCGCGGGAGCCAGCGCCGCTGGATTTTCGGCGGGGAGAGCGCGACGGGCCGCCCGGGCCTCCGCGTCATCCTCTCGCACCTCCTGGGCCAGGAGCTGGTGCGCGGAGATGGCCGCGGGGAGTTTGCGTGCGGGAAGTGCGCCTTCTCCCTCGAGCGCGTCTACAGGTGCGCTGCTGCTGTTGTTGCTGCTGCTGCTGTTGTTGCTGCTGTTGTTGCTGTTGTTGCTGCTGTTGCTGCTGTTGCTGCTGTTGCTGCTGTTGCTGCTGTTGCTGCTGTTGCTGCTGCCACCAACACCGCTGCCCTCCGGCCGGTTTATCGGCGTTATTCTCCCGCGCGGGTTTCCGTGGTTGTACTGCTGCCGCTGCTGCTGTTGCACAGCTCTCTTTTGGGTCGTACCGACGTTTCGCACCACACCCCGGGCGGGAGCTGCCTCGGAATTGAATGGGCGCGTCCGGCGTGCGTGTGCGGCGAAAACGCCGGACGTCGTGCGGTACGACCCGTGACCCAAGGGAGAGCTGTTGAGGCTCGGTGAGACTCTCCGGGCTAAACGAGGGTTCACGTTTGTTTTCGTTCAACCCCGGCGAGAACTCGAGAGGGCATGACGGGGAGTCTCATTGGCAGCAGCAGCGGGGACGTGGACTGCCAACGACAGAAGTTGAAGGAATAAGAATGAAAGTACGGCAATGAAAGCGAATAAAAATCGGCGCGAAAATACAACTGCGTCGGGGGGGGGGGGAAATGAAAAGTATTGCGCAATCATGAATCGTCGTTCAGCAATAAACTCCCCGTCGCGCGAGGCGGCTGGAGATGGATTATGTTTCGCCCGATCGCAGCACGTTTGTACCGTCGTACGTAGCGTCGTTATTGGAGACACCGCTAATGACGACGCGTGGTCATGCACGTGGTGCGCGCGCACCGCAGGTACGACGGCGTGATGAACCGCGTGAAGGCGCTGTCCATCGAGCGCATGCAGAAGCTGGCGACGGAGCGCGACAAGCTGGCGCAGTGCGTGCTCTTCCAGTACGGCCGCTCGAACCCGGGCCAGGGCCGGCCCGGCGGGGGCCGGCAGCGCTTGCTGGACGCGAGCCGCGTCGCGTATAATGACCTGCTGCAGGACGACGCCGCCTTCTCCGAGTACGAGAGCTGGTCCGAGCGCGGCGGCGGGGGCGACGGCAGCGGCGGCGCCTGCTCCTACTCCTTCGCCTCGACGCCGCTCAAGAGCGCGCCGGGAGGCCGCGGGCCGTCCCGCCACGGCCCCGCTTCGGGCCGCTCCACGCCGAGCGGCTGCGGCGGCGCCGCCGCCATGCGCCGGAGCGTCAGCGTGGACTCGCTGCGCGTGCCGGACGCGCGCTACGAGTCCGTGTGCAAGGTCCCGCGCAAGGTGGCGGCCGGAATGGGCGCCCGGTCGCCCTGGTCCGTGTCGCGCTCCGTCAGCGTCGGGGGCGGCAGCGTCGGCACCGCGGACGGCGCCTCCTCCGCGACGAGACGGAACCGCGGCGCGGGCCAGGGCTCCTTCGGCAGGCGGGGGTGGGGGGCGGTCGGCTCCGTCGGCTCGTCCGTGTCCCTGGGGTCCCTGGCATCCTTCGGCGCCGTGCCCGCGCTGTCGATCGCCGAGGAGGAAGAGGATGGCGACTGCGAGGACGCGGTGGACAGCGTGAGCGTCTTCTCGGCCCGCTCGCCCGTCACGTCTCCGCCGCCGCCGGCGCTCGCCCGCTCCCTGCAGCTGGTGCGCAGCATCGGCGTCCGCAGCCTCCGCCCCTCCAAGGGCAGCAGGATCCCCACGCCGGCGCGGCGGGGGGGCGGCGGCGGCGGCAGCGGCGCCGGCTCGGCGCGGACGCGTAGCGAGCGCAGCACGCCGCGTGGCAGCCCCCGCCGCGAGGAGGCGCCGGAGCTCTCGGGGGGCAACGCCGTCGGAGCGGAGGAGCGCGGCGCTTGCCGTGAGGTACGGGGCGAGCTGCGTTTTTTACATCGGGAGCCACCGGCGCCCTGTGGTGCCGCGGGGTCGCGGCGGTGGTGGATCTGGCTCGGCAGGGATGGGCGGTTTAAAAAAAGATTGATAAATAAAAAAAACTTTCATTATTTTATTCGTTTGAAACGGTGGGCAAGATTTTTTTTTTCGAATGCCATCCATCCAACAGGCGGTTGACACAGAGCTGCAAATTATTTTAATAAATGTATTTGTCAGTGAATTAAAAAAGCCAAAGATTATATACAATATATTTTTTGTGTCGCTCTTATCCTCCAGATTTTGAGAAAGGCCCCACGTTTCAGTCTCAGTTATGCTTCGCTGCTCAAATTAATATTTCATAGCCGTGTATTTGCCGCGTCACCGCGTGTGATGCTCCGTGTGCCCCCGTTGCCCGGCCAATGCCCTTTTAATTCTGCCCTAAGCAGGGTGCGTGCCCAGCCACGGCGCGACCCAGTTTCACGGCGTTGCCGCATTCTCGCAAATAGAATGACACCTTCACCGGGGCTTCGGGACGAATGTGCAAGCCTGCAAAATGATGGTGACTGGGTGACGATGACGACGATGACGATGATGACGACAATGATGTTGATGATGTTGATGATGATGGAGGGGAACAATTCTAATAAAGGTGCCACCACACCCATGATTAAACCTGCGTCACGAGCGAGAAGGATAGTCTCCCGCCCGATCACCAGGCTCGCGTAGAGACCCATAGACTCACATAGAAACCCGCAAATTCGCATAGAGACCCGCAGACTCGCATAGAGACCCATAGACTCACATAGAGACCCGCAGATTCGCATAGAGACCCGCAGACTCGCATAGAGACCCGTAGACTCGCATAGAGACCCATAGACTCGCATAGAGACCCATAGACTCACATAGAGAAACATAGACTCACATAGGGACCCGCAGATTCGCATAGAGACCCGTAGACTCGCATAGAGACCCGTAGACTCGCATAGAGACCCATATACTCGCATAGAGACCCATAGACTCACATAGAGACCCGTAGACTCGCATAGAGACCCGTAGACTCGCATAGAGACCCGTAGACTCACATAGAGACCCACAGACTCGCATAGAGACCCACAGACTCACATAGAGACCCACAGACTCAAATAGAGACCCACAGACGCGCATAGAGACCTGTAGACTCGCATAGAAAGTCACGAGTGTCTTATCTCATGGAGTGACTTGTCCTTGCCATAGGAATATGGAAATCCACTTGTCTCAGGCACACCACCACGGATGAGCATCACCCAGAGTTTTTTCGCGCAGGGAGAGGCCTTCAATGGCTGCCCTCTCCCGTTCGCCGTAGTCACACACGGTTACTGCTTCCGTGTCTCTCTCTCTCCCGCGGGCCTGACAGGACGTTGGCCAGCAGCTGGAGCGGAACGAGAGCGGGGCGGCCGCGCGGATCGGGGACCTCGAGCGGAGCCTGGCATGCGCCGTCGCCGGGCCGAGCCTCCGCGAGCGCCTCCTGGAGGTGCTGCCACTCCCCCGCTCCCGCACCAGTGCCGCTCGATGCGCCCGTTGACGGTTTTGATTTGCGCGCGGCTCTGCGGCGCGCGGCGGCGCGCGCGGAGATCGCGACCGTGCCACGCAGCGACGGCCACCCCCCTTCACCCACAATCCACAGTGTCCCCAGTTCGATTCCATCTCCCGGTGCACGGCGGTTGAAACAACGGTGCCGGTTCCTTAAATTCGCCCGGCAGTAGAAATGTTTAAACCGCGGTGAGTCGGTCGGCAGGCACGCGTGTGGTGGGGTAAAAGTGTGGGTACCCCCGCCGGACGTTCTTCCTGCGCCGGTGGCGGCGGCGGCTTTGTCGTGCACGGCGGTGACGTTGAGCGGGGCCCACAGGACTGCGCGAGGATGGCGGAGGAGAGAGCGGCGGGCGACGAGGACTCGGGCCACCTCGTCACGCGACTCAAGGACAGGCTGTCGGAAGGACGCTCCGCTCCCGTGGTGAGGGGGAATACCTACAGCGGACAACGGTTTGGGCAAAGGCCACTGTTCCCTGCTGTGATCTCCCTCCTATGATGTCTCTGCTATGAGTCTCTGCTATGAGGAAGTGTCGCCTATATCATATTTATTCCTCTTTCTCCTGCCGTCGAGTGATCGTGAGTGCCAGCGATGGGCTTGAGGAGGCCTGCATCCAGCAGTTGATAGATAATGGCTGTCGATGCAGATTATGAGTTTGGCACGGCCGGCTGCGACTGTCATTAGACGCGCAATTAGAGTCGTGGGAGAGTTTTCAGTCACGGGCGTGGGTCGGCCACCGCCCATCCTTCTCCCCACTTTGTGCTGAGTTAGCGGTGGTTTTCCCAAGAATAGGACAGACTCGTCCCCGCCACGGGAACGTGTAATTCCACCACTGGCTCACTGCCAGACGGGGGGCGAGTGCTGGCTTGTCTTGATGGAAGGTAAAGGGCGCAGCCCCTGCAACTTCTCGCTCGCGCTACTGCCGGCCGACAGGTCTCAGCTAGAGGGTGCATTGACCTACTCTTCCGCGCCGGCCGGGTGTCCTGTAAGAGTACCCACACTTTACCCCACCACCACCACCACGACGACGACGACGACCACCGCACTCGAGCTGCCGATCGTAGACTAGCCGTGGTGTGGTCATCGGCACTGCCCGGTTGGACGGAGGCCTTTCCTTGACCCACATTTGAACCGTTGCCGTGTTTTCAGACCTCCGAGGCACGCGACGGTCCGTCGGATCCTCCTCGCGCGCGCGGGACAGACGGACGGGACGAGAGGGCCGGGAGGGAGGAGAGGGACGGGAGGGATGAGAAGGAGCTGCTGTGTCTGAGGGAGGCTCTGGAGGAGAAGGACTCGGACATCCGCCGGCTTTGCAGCGTCCTCTCCAGCAACGAGTCCACCATCGCGGTGAGCGGCGCTCTCCCTCATCGCGCTCGTTACGACGATGACAGCAGTGAGTGTATGTATCGCGGTCTCATCATAACAACAATAACAACAGTGAGTGTTTGTATCGCGGTCTCATCATAACAACAATAACAACAGTGAGTGTTTGTATCGCGGTCTCATCATAACAACAATAACAACAGTGAGTGTTTGTATCACAGTCTCATCATAACAACAATAACCACAGTGAGTGTTTGTATTACAGTCTCATCATAACAACAATAACCACAGTGAGTGTTTGTATCGCGGTCTCATCATAACAACAATAACAACAGTGAGTGTATGTATCGCGGTCTCATCATAACAACAATAACAACAGTGAGTGTATGTATCGCGGTCTCATCATAACAACAGTAACCACAGTGAGTGTTTGTATCACAGTCTCATCATAACAACAATAACAACAGTGAGTGTTTGTATCGCGGTCTCATCATAACAACAATAACAACAGTGAGTGTATGTATCGCGGTCTCATCATAACAACAATAACAACAGTGAGTGTATGTATCGCGGTCTCATCATAACAACAATAACAACAGTGAGCGTTTGTATCGCGGTCTCATCATAACAACAATAACAACAGTGAGTGTTTGTATCGCGGTCTCATCATAACAACAATAACCACAGTGAGTGTTTGTATCACAGTCTCATCATAACAACAATAACCACAGTGAGTGTTTGTATCACAGTCTCATCATAACAACAATAACAACAGTGAGTGTTTGTATCACAGTCTCATCATAACAACAATAACAACAGTGAGTGTTTGTATCGCGGTCTCATCATAACAACAATAACAACAGTGAGTGTATGTATCGCGGTCTCATCATAACAACAATAACAACAGTGAGTGTATGTATCGCGGTCTCATCATAACAACAATAACAACAGTGAGCGTTTGTATCGCGGTCTCATCATAACAACAATAACAACAGTGAGTGTTTGTATCGCGGTCTCATCATAACAACAATAACCACAGTGAGTGTTTGTATCACAGTCTCATCATAACAACAATAACCACAGTGAGTGTTTGTATCGCGGTCTCATCATAACAACAATAACAACAGTGAGTGTTTGTATCGCGGTCTCATCATAACAACAATAACAACAGTGAGTGTATGTATCGCGGTCTCATCATAACAACAATAACAACAGTGTGTATGTATCGCGGTCTCATCATAACAACAATAACCACAGTGAGTGTTTGTATCACAGTCTCATCATAACAACAATAACAACAGTGAGTGTTTGTATCACAGTCTCATCATAACAACAATAACCACAGTGAGTGTTTGTATCGCGGTCTCATCATAACAACAATAACCACAGTGAGTGTTTGTATCGCGGTCTCATCATAACAACAATAACAACAGTGAGTGTATGTATCGTGGTCTCATCATAACAACAATAACAACAGTGAGTGTTTGTATCGCGGTCTCATCATAACAACAATAACAACAGTGAGTGTATGTATCGCGGTCTCATCATAACAACAATAACCACATGCAAAGACACCGCACCGCGCTGCACAATCCCCACACGCTGAGGCGTGCGTGTTGGCAGACTGGGATTCTTTCAGCCAATTAGCGACGAGCGTTTACTCACGTGGGGGGGGGGGGGGGAACCGAATCACCCGGAGTAAAAGCCACGTGTGCGACGGGGAAATATTCTGTGCCACGCACTGTCGGGATGGACACAGATCAGTCGGCGCTTGCCGTGTCGCCTTCTGTCGGCGAGCCAGGGTACGGCACCTCCACGACACCCTTCTCAACCGACACACGCGTGTCGCACGCGCGTGTCACACGCGTGTGTCACCGTGGCGCTCCGCTCTGCCGAACGACGATGCGGCACGACCGGGAATCTCACCGGAGCGCCGTGGGCGGCACCGCGTGCCACGGTGCCCCCGTTGTCGTACGCAGAGCCTGGACACGGTGCTCAAGCAGAAGGACGAGGAGCTGAAGCGGTCGAGCGACGCGTTCCTGGAGATGATCGACGGCTTGCGGAGCAGCCACGCGCGCGCCGCCCGGCAGAAGGACGCCCTCATCGCGGAGATGGAGCAGGCGCTGCGCAGGAAGCTCCGCGACACGGAGGTGCGGAAGGCCTCCATCCCCTCCCTCGCTTAGATCGTGACCGCGGCGCGCAACGACCGCAGTAAGAGTGCCGTCCGCTTCGCTCGCCGTGGACGTTAAGAGGGCCCGTGACGTCGTTCGCAAAGAGGAGGCCGTCGTGTGCCGCCGGCGTCGGGGTTGGTCCGCGTTTGAGAAAGGAAAAAAAAAAATTGATGCCACCAAATTCCACGATCCGTCCAGGAGCTGCTGAGGAGCAGGTCGAGCGGCGGGGACGAGGCCTTGGCGGAGGCGACCGAGCGCTGCGTGGAGCAGCAGCGCCAGCTGCAGCAGGCCCTCGTCGACAGAACCCGGGAGCTCTCCGAGCACCAGGAGGAGGTGGAGAGGACGCTCCGGCTGGTCGTGGACAAGGAGCGCCTGCTCAAGGTGCGGCGCCGCCGCGACCCCCGTGCCACTTCCGCCGCGCCGATGGCGCGGTGTGGCCGCCAGCGTCGGCGGGAGCCGCGCGTTCCGCGACGTTGATCCCCCCCCTGGCCGTTGGCGTGCCGATCTCTCCACAGGAGAGGATGGAAGCCTCCTCGACGGCGGAGGGAGAGCTGAGGGCCGAGATCGAGCGGCTGAAGCGCAGCGCGGTCCAATCTCCGCGCGGAGCAGGGGCGGGCGACGCCGCTCGGGCGGTGTCCGGAGACGCGGAGGCCTCGGTGAGTCCCCACCTGTCACCCGTGTCACCCGCGCGCCAACTGCGTCACCCGCCACAAGCCTGCCACCCGCGCCACCTGTGCCGCCGCTGAGCGCTACACTCTGGGATCTCGTCATCGTTGTCACTGTGATCAGCAGCAGCCATGACCCCTTCACCGATGATGCTGATATTGCTGCTCATGATGCCCGTGATGGTAAGGGTGGTGCTGCTGCTGCTGATTATGATGGCGCTAATGACGTGGGTTTCGCAGCTGCTGCTGCTGCTCATGGCAATGATGAGGATAATGCGAAGCGAATGATGATGATGATGCTGCTGCTCGTGATGCTGACGATGACAATGATGTCACTCGTCATGATGGGGATGCTTTTCAGGATAAAGACACTGTTGCTAACGACGATAAGGATGTCGCAGCGGCTTCCCGTGATTATGATGCTGATGATGCTGATGACGAAGCTGCCACTAACGACGATGCGCGTGGTAAATTCGGCAGGAGAGGCCTCACCAAGGAGGCCGGGACGGAGGCGGTGTCGACGCGACGCTCGTGGCTGAGAACGTGGCGCTGAAGGCCCAGCTCGCCCAGCAGGAGAAGCTCCTCAAGGTGAGAGCCGACTCGAGTCGCCTCGGTCCATTTGGGCCGTCTCGGTCCATCTCGGGCCGTCTCCCGTCGTAACGTTTAGTTCGGCACTGCGACGATTCACTGTGGGCAACAGAACATAGGGGCAGTGCTGCAAAATGCATCGTTATTATTATTACGATTCCGCGTGCTTACCAAGGGAGGCTTCACTGAGTCTCAAGACTCTATTTCAGGAGGGTCCTGCCCAGTTTTCGCTTGGGAGGATGATGCTGCTGCTGCTGCTGTTGTTGTGTGCGATCCCAATTGAGTGATTTGCAGGGTGATTTCTTCAGCATTGGGATGCTGTTGGGCCAATAAGAGTGACATTGTGTGGTTTGTTTAGCGATGGGAAGGAAGCCAGAGAACCCGCGAGGAAAGCCACGCAGAAGAGGGGGGAGAACGAACCAACTCCACACAGAGAGGCAGGCGCCCGAGTCAGACCTCGAACCCGGGCCGTCGTTGACGTGAGGCACGAGCAGTAGCGCCGCGTTGGCGCCCAGCGACCCGCCGCAGTAGCCAGAACGCACGCCGTGACGGCAGTGGGGCGACCGAACTACCGGGGGGTCGCAGTTGTCGGAGCAGCACACACAAAGCGGATAAACATCGCCAAACGAGCGGCGAGGCCGTTGAAGTAACGGCGCGCCGCGTCCGACGGCCCCAAACCACCCCGCCGTTTTGTTGTGGGCAAAACGGCGGGGTGTGCCCCAGGAGTTGGGTGAGGAATGGGCTCCGGCATTCGTACCCCCCCCCCCCCGAGGCCGGCGTCTTTAGCCTGGAGCACTCCAAGCTAGACGACGGGAGTCGTCTCGCCGCTACGCACGGCACGATTTCCTCATTCCGCCCAACCCAATGGCCGTATCCTCTCGGGCGCATTAGGGGACGGGTCGATGGCGTGCGGAGGGCATTCATCCAGTGATGGATTGACAACGGCTGACGGTGATCGAGTGAGTCGGTGCAGTGTCCTGAGTGCTACGTTGACACTTTGAAGCTTGTGAGTTACAGTGCCTGTTGTTGGGGATTCACTCAGCACCACCATCTTTTAATGAACACTACTTAGCGGCGAGTCAACAGCGATAATCCTACGCACGTCACTGGAAGTGCGCAGGGTAAATTTGGGTCATCTGGGGTTTAGAGGTGAGGGACGTGGGGAGGTGAGGGGCGTGGTGAGGGACGTGGTGAGGGACGTGGTGAGGGACGTGGTGAGGGACGTGGTGAGGGACGTGGTGAGGGACGTGGTGAGGTGAGGGACGTGGTGAGGTGAGGGACGTGGTGAGGGACGTGGTGAGGTGAGGGGCGTGGTGAGGCGAGAGACGTGGTGAGCTGAGCGTAGATCCAGGAGATGTTGTGCAGATGGAGGAATGAGGTTGTGCAGTATTGAGGGACGTGGGGCGAGAGCGAGAATTTGCGATCGATGATGATGCCGAGGTTGCGTGCAGACAACAATAATTCGCGTTTGGTATCCATGCCATTCCGCTCGCATCAAGGGCTTTCGTGGAGGCGCTACGTTTAACAGGCAGGCATAGCCTGCCAGTATCACGATCAGATTATTTATTTATGTATACTGGAGGGATCCGATGAGCTATAAATAATTTTTTTCACACAGATGTTCAGTAGGGGCAGGTAAGAACGTTACAACAGCGAACGGCACAGAAACACGCTAGGAGTGCAAAGTACAAATGGGTGAAGGGTAACACCGGTCCACGAGGCCTACCATTTTTCCGAACGACGTCACGGGATCTGATAGTGGCACCCACAGTGAAACGGACGGTGCGTGTGTTTTTGATCGTTTCTATGTTTCTGGTCGCTACGCCCGCAGCGTTAATCAGGGGGTATCCGCCGGCTCGAGCCCCCAACCTCCGCGAGAAGCGGCGAACGAGCGACCGCTCGGCCTTCCGTGACGAGGCCATCGGTGCACAAACCACGCAGAGCTTCTCGCGCCGTGCGGCGTCGTGTTCCTCGCGTGCCGTGTGCCGGATGTCGCGTGTCGCACATTTCGCATGACGCGTATGTCGCGTGTCGTGTCCCGCATGTCGTGTCGCGTGTCTCGCGTGTCATGTGTCGTGTATCATGTGTTGAGTGTCGTGTCTCGCATGTCGTGTCGCGTGTCATGTGTCGTGTATCATGTGTTGAGTGTCGTGTCTCGCATGTTGCGTCGCGTTTCTTGCATCTCATGTGTCGTGTATCATGTGTCACGTGTCACGTGTCGTGTATTATGTGTCGTGTGTCACGTGTCGTGTATCATGTGTCGTGTGTCACGTGTCGCGTGTCGTGTGTCGTGTATCATGTGTCGCGTGTCGTGTATCACGTGTCGTGTGTCGCGTGCCGTGTGTCGCGTGTCGTGTGTCGCGTGTCGCGTGTCGTGTGTCACGTGTCGTGTGTCGCGTGTCGTGTATCGCGTGTCGCGTGTCGTGTGTCACGTGTCGTGTGTCGCGTGTCGTGTATCGCGTGTCGTGTGTCGCGTGTCGTGTGTCGTGTGTCGCGTGTCGTGTATCGCGTGTCGTGTGTCGCGTGTCGTGTGTCACGTGTCGTGTGTCACGTGTCGTGTGTCGTGTATCACGTGTCGTGTGTCGTGTGTCGCGTGTCGTGTGTCACGTGTCACGTGTCGTGTGTCGTGCGTCACGTGTCGCGTGCCCGGGGCAGGAGCTCATGGCAGAGGGCAGCAGGAACGGAGACCACGGCCGCTACGACTACGACGACGACGCTCACCACCTCCTCCTCCTCGACGACGACGTAGACGACGACGAGGGGGATGACGGTGAGACGCACGGCGTGCCGGGCCGCCTGCGTGGCGAGTTCACGTTGGGAGCTGCGGATTTTCCGCGCGGGGTAAATACTGAAAACGCTCTGCCCTCGCGAGCAGGGAGACGAGCGGATTACCCCGTGCGTGCCCAGCCTCTCTTACTTCAGGAAACGAGGGGAAGCGTGGCTCTCCAGAGTACGTCTGGGTTCTGCGATGATCAAACGGTCGCCAAGGAAAAACACTTTGGGCCGATGTGAGCACACGAGCTGTCGGCGATTTGACTGCTTGAAAGAGTTTACCGGCAATTTTTTAAATAACAAGATGTGTAAAATTTTGATTGAAAGCTTTCGTGACTGCAGGGATTCATATTCTTGGTTCTTTCGGTAAAGTCACCACGTAGAAGGGAAACAATGTTTTATATTTGTATTATTTTATTGTTTCCCTTCTACGTGACTTTACCGAAAGAACCAAGAATATAAAAAGATGTGTTCCGGTTTTCTCGTGCATGTGCCGGACTCTACCGGTGATGTGCGTGTCCGCGTACCTGGTGCGGTGTGTAACACATCGCCACCGGGGAGACAAAGGCGGCCGGGCACGGTGGCGGGCCACCCACCTCCTTCGTGTGCCGCGCCGGCGTTCACAGGTGCTGCTCGCCAAACACACGCTCGCCCCAACCAGTCTGTTGAGGCTTACACGGTGGGGGGGTCTTGTGCCTTTGTGTGCCGTTGCGTGCCCCCCCCCCCCCCCCCCCCCCCCCCCCCCCCCCGGTAAAGATTTGCTGCCGGAGTTCCCTCGGTTTGTCACTCGCTCCCCTCCGCTGGGGTCCGCCCCCGGAGAGCGAAGCGACGCGGACACAAGTCGCCCACCCGCGGCGGCCTTCAGCAACGGTCTCGAGGCCAAGGTACCGCTGGCTACCGACACCAAATCTAAAAACATTTTATTTCATTTTACCAGGTGCAAGGCCCCGCTCGAGCTATTATTGTACGGCTCTTTTTTTGTCACAAAGCGACCGGGGCTGCCACAAATGATAGCTCGAAAACGTACCGGCGGCTTGTCATCGCGTGAAAGTGGCGGCCGAGCAGTGGAAACAATGGGAACGCGTGGTGACGTTGAATTCTAAACGTGGAGGGAAAACACGGAGGGCCCGGAGAACAATCCACACGACCACGGGGAGACAGAGAGAGAGAGACACACACGCAGACTCCAAATATACAGCAGCGGGCGTCAGGGTCGGGATGGAACCCACGACCTCCTGGTAGCCAACACGTCGCCACCGTGGCCACAACTAGCGGGGGGCCGCCCGTCACCGAGGCGCGGTGACAATCGCACCGCTACTCACCCGGTGTCGGCGTGTTGCAGCTTCACGCTTTGAGAAGTCCCAGTCGCCTTGCGGCGTCGCCAGGGGACAAAACGGAACGTCGCGGTCGGTCTCCGCTCTTCTAAAGCGCTCGCTTGACAGCGCGCTTGGCCCGGAACGTCTAATTAAGGCCACACGGGGGATCTTTGTTTTGTTCGCGTGTTGCTTAGAAGGCCGCGGGCTCGGACGGTGGACGGCAGCAGTCGCCCCCCACGGCCGTGTCCACTTCCGCCAGGTGAGTTCAGAAGTCGGCGCGCAGCGATGGAGCCGTGGACTGAGAGCGGCTGGAATCGATTATTATTCCTTGTTATTGTTACTACTACTACTACTTGTTACATCGTTGTGTAAGTTTGAGTGCGGGGCATTCCTCGGGGTTGCCCTGCGACGCACCGCGCGCCCCGAAGCGCCTCACCTCTCTCGCTCCCTCGCAGCGCTGCGACCTTGACCAAGCAGCCGAAGCAGCCCGCTAAGCAGAGGCCCTCCAAGGCCACCAAGCAGGGGCCCCCCAAGAAGAGGGCGGCGATGGCGGCGGGCGGCGGAGCCTCGAGCCACAACGGCAAGAAGGCCGCCGCGCCGCGCCAGGACGAGTGACGGCCGCCGCGGCCGTGGGCGCGGCCGCCGTCCGGGCGTGGAGGCGACGCGGCGGCAGCCTCGTCGCCGCCACCGCATGCGGAAGCCCTCGTCGGCGTCGGCGTCGGCGTCGGCGTCGGCGTCGGCGTCGGCGCCGTCGTCGGCCGTGGTCTATCCACTGCCGGATGAGAAGGCCTCCCGAAAATCGTCTCTCTCGATCCCACGATGCGATGGCCCCACCTTGCTCCTGATCTCATCCCCTCTCTGTTCTTGAAGTCGAAAAGTAAAAATGAGTCGGGGTCCAATTCATCACCGGCCAGGTTCTGTCCACTGCTGGATGAAGGCGCCTCCCCAGGCCGGCGCCATCCGTCGCGATGCTGCGATGCAACACCCCTAACCGAGCACGAGCCGGTTTCATCGTTCCATCTCCTCGGAGGAACGTCGTCTACGGACGCGCTCCATTCCTTCCACCACCCCTTCCATGGAACGGGATCACGGAAATAACCTGCGGGCGCTCGCCTCGCCCTGCCTGCCGAAGACTAACACGCACACACGCACACACGCACGCTCACACACTGGGGAGTTCAATAGAACGACACGGAGCAAGTTTTGCACATTAAGAATTATGCTTCACGGGGGCAATAATTTCCCTTTGCACTCTCTCTACACTGCGAACTTCATCGACGGAACTTCCACTGCCGCGGTGCAGAGCGCCGAGTGGGCTTCGTGGGGGTTTGCTGGCGGGAATGCTCTCGTTGCTCTCGCCTTCTGTTGTAAAACAGAATCCCCAAATCACCCTGCGGTTTCGCTTGGCCTCGGCGGCGCGGGTGTCGCAGGTGTCGTGGGCGGCACGGGTGAAGTGGGTGGTGTGGGTGGTGCGGGTGGAGTGGGTGGCATGGGTGGCATGGGTGGGATGGGTCGAACTGGTGGCATTGGTGGAACGGGTGGCATGGGTGGGATGGGTGGGATGGGTGGAACTGGTGGCATCGGTGGAACGGGTGGCATGGGTGGCATGGGTGGGATGGGTGGCGCGGGTGGAATGGGGCCTTGCGGCAAGTGCGTGCCGTGTCCGTGCCGTGTTCGTGCCGTGCTGCTTTTAGAGGTCCCCTTGCTGACGTGCTCACTGCCTCTCGTGCGTCCCTCTCGATGGCGCGTGCTGGGTCTCCCCGGGTTCCAGTCCGACCCGACGGGGTTTCTGAGGTACAGGCGGACACGTGACGTTGTACTGCACTCAAGCGGCTGTGCTGGGTGACTGTTGTTCCTGGAGCATGAAGTTCCGTGCCGATGGGCCCCTCGCACTGCTCCAGGAACAGACGTCGCTTTAGTTACAGACACGTGTCGTAAGCGTCAATCCTCAGCTGCGAGGAGGCGATGACGCTGTGATCACGTGAGCGAAGTGATTTTGACAGCGCTGCCCTCCTCTACGCCATTCACAAGGGGGGGGGGGGGGGGGGGGGGTGGGGGGGGGCGGAGGGGTCTCCGAGCGTTTTAGGTGACAGCATCTCAACGCGTTCCATAGGGCGCCCCCAGTGGCGGCAGCAGCAGCTGTCCCTGCGTGGCACCAGGTGACTCGGCACGTGGCCTGCGAGCGGACACCAGTCCGCTGCCGGTAGGGGGCGATGACAGCTGGTGTGCGATCCCAATTGAGCGCTGGTGTAGCGGTTAGAGCGCTGCGCCCCGAACCCGGCGAGCCGAGTTCGATTCCCGCCCACGGCCCACCAACGCCAGCGACCCCGATTCATCTGAACGGTCCTGAGCCTCCCCTGGGTTGACTCGGCCTCAAACGGAGTGCCTGGTGCGTTGCGTAAACATCGCCACCGGGGAGACAAAGGCGGCCTGGCAGGCGTGGTGCTGGCCACCCACCCCCTCGTGCTGCGCCATGCCGGCCTTCGTAGATGCTGCTACTCTCTCGCGGCACTTGCCCCAACAGTCTGTTACAGCCTATACGAGGGGGGGTCTTTGGTCGCACTGGACGTGGGTCGAACGGCGCGTTTGCAGGTCTCGTTTCGAGGCGCCTGAGACGCCGTGCCCCCCCCCCCCCCCCCCCCCCCCCCCCCCCCCCCCGAGCGTTTCCTCGTCGTGTGGTTGGGATTGCAAGCCCGGTCGTGAAACCACGGCGCAAGCGACTTAAATCCTCCTCGCCCTCTCTCCGTGCCCACTCCCACCGCCTCGCCTCCATCCACCCAGCAGTATAAATGGGTGACGCCGCAGTCAAGATGACGGGTGGGGTAAAGTGTGGGTACTCCCACGTCGCCTCCCAAGGACGGCCCGGCCAGCCTGGAAGATCGGGTCCAAACAACAACAACAACAACAAAACTGCCACCAGTTCCGTCAGCGGGGATCCGGCAGCGGTGACGCGGGCGAGCACTTGCGGGGCTGCGCTTTTACCTCTCGCGCGTCCGCACGAGTCCTGCACTGGGGCACGCACGCGGACTCGGCGTCGCTCTGTGCGTCCACGTAGGAGACGTCGCCTGCCGAACACCAACAGGGCCCTGCGTGTTGTGGGGGGGGGGTTTCCGTCAACGGTTTTTTGCAAACGTTTGGCCGACTTGCACCTTCCCCCTGACTCCACCGACTTGCACCTTCCCCCTGACACCACCGACTTGCACCTTCCCCCTGACACCACCGGTGTATGGCTGTGGCGTGGCATGACAAGTTGATAAAAAAACTCTACCGGGGGAGGGGGGGGGCGGGGACAGAGAGAGGGGGGGGGGCGTTTGTTTTTAAATGACCCAAAAAGAAATCCACTTCACGGTCTGCGTCTAAAAGACGCAGAGTCAACACCAGATTTCAACAAAATCGTCACTGGAGTTGACCAAACATCCCCAATAATTATAGGACCAGCAGAGCTTGGGCAATGTTTGCCGGTGACGCCGGGTCTGGGGGGAGGGGGTGAGGGGGGGGGGGGGTCACAGAATCTAGAGCGGCGATTTGATCTGCGATTTCCCTATGAACAACGATGCTATGCATACACATTATTATTGCTGTTAACGTTGTTAATGTTGACTGTGAGCGAAGCTCACTGGATAGCGGTGTTCGTCAATGCAACCGTGTGGTGGGTCGTACTGTTCGGCTTGGCAGTGTCTAAGCTTTAGGTTAATGCATATTAAATGAAAAATAAATAACACCGGACGATGTTCACTGACGGTATGGAAGCCTCACGTGTTCATTCAGCTGAGCCGTCTCCATACCTGTCAACTCCTTATCAGTGCCCTACCTTATGAGAGACCAATCCACACATTATTGGTCACCCCGTGCACTTATACATCTCAACGTTCATCCTACACAGTCCCATCACAAGGGAGAAACACAAACAAATGGACGAACAAAATGTTTGGTGCCCGTATTGAAACGGCCGTACGCCGTATGGACCTGAAAACTCAATTTCCCTCGACAAGAATACGTGCGGTAAAGCGTACGGGTTGACAGCACTGCGTCTGTGTCAGCTGTCCCGAGCCATTGCCTGGGAACCTCACGTGGTGTCGTGGGGCCCACAACCACCACGTGCTGGCATACTGGACCCAACTTTTTATTTATTTTTCTCTCTTCTCGCAAAGTGGTACCCTCGCTGAATGTTTACGAGTTCGGATGGAGTCTCCTGCGAGGGTTAGAGACCCTGAGTTCGACTCCAGGCGTCAGCTGCCCGAGTGTGGACCGCATTCTCTGGTGCAGTGAGTTGATGGCCCCAGCCCGGGACACCAGTGACTACTACAAAGACAAAGTTCCCCCGTGTAGCCTTAGCGGACTGTCGGGGTAAGTGATGTTAGCGAGCAGCACCGACGAAGGCCGGCACGGCACACGAGGGGGTTGGTGGCCAACAACCACGCCCGGCCGCCTTTGCCTCCCCAGTGGCGATGTTTACAAATCGCACCAGGTACTTATTTGAGGCCGAGTCTACCTAGGGGGAGTCCCAGGACCGGTTTAGATAATCGTCATCGGTGTTGGCCGTGAGCGGGAATGGAACCCGGGTTGCCGGGTTCGTACCCTACCGCCCCCCACTATATACTCACACACACACACAACGCGACACCGTCGCACAGACAATCGGTGGAGGGAAGGGGTGAATTAGAACGGCGTTTAGTGGTTAGTTTGGTGTCCTTTCCTCCCCGGCACCTCCGATTAGCACGGTTGGCTACGTACGGTGCGAAAGAAGTTCAACACACTGTAGATTAAATCTTCACTTAAAGCTTTCGTGACTGCAGGAATTCATATTGTTCTTGTGTCTTTCGGTAAAGTCACGTAGATAGGTTCAAAGAAAATAACAAAAAAAACTACGACGTTTCGATCGCAACACAAGCGGTCGTCAGGAAAAATAAATGTTACACTTTACATGTTTACATGTACACTGTACCTAACAAAACAAGATATTTAAGTATACAGTCATCATCCTAGTCCTGCTTTATTCTAAACGTGGGATGTAGAATTCGTGTTTTTTTTAATGTTTAGTTAGTTCATTGCATGTCGCTAATGCGAACGGTTCTTCGAGTGTGTAACCGTCGGTGCACACATTTGTCCTTGTTAAGTTCAGTTTTAGACGTTCAAAACCTGCGTGCGTGGTCGACCTCATCATCATCAGACCTCCTTTGCCAGTACCAAAATATAATAATATGGGTTTTCTCCTTTTTTATATATATACGTAGTCGACCTGTTTGGTGTTCATACTTCAGGGGCATCGCACGCGATTCAAAGTTCGGCTCGACTCTCAACTCGTCCCATCATCGTTCCAAAGGTTCATAAACCGCGGGTACCGCTTTGGCGTCGTCCTCCACGCTCACGCGCGCGGCTCAGGGTAGCTCGGGGTGAGCCTGGTGGACACCGCACTCTGGCTCGGCTTGCGTGGGAAACGGGACGCGCGGAAAAGGGGCCGTCCATAAATGACGTCACGCGATTTTTTACCCCCCCTCTCTCCCATCGTCAAATTTGACGTCACAAAGCTCTGCCCCCCCCCCCAAATATTAAAAAAATGCTTCAAATCGCTTTAAACTATTGTCATTGTAGTGCGTATTTAATGTGGCGCTGCACTCTGATGTTGTAGGAGAAAACATTAAAAAGTCTATTTAATTAAGTAGAACGTGTTGTCTATATTTATTAAAAGTTGCGCATTTTGATGTGACGTCACATTCCTCAAGCCCCCCCTCCCCCCTCGTCGCACATCGTCACAAATGTCTGATCCCCCCCCTTCCTAGGTGCGTGACGTCATTTATGGACGGCCCCAAATACTCGACACCTTTTTGACCTTGACTCAACCGCGATCACGACGACGCCGCCGGCACTAAACGCCGAGCCGCTTTGACAACCCCCCCCCCCCCGGCGCGGATTGTCGCTGCTCGTTCTTGCCCGCCCGAGGTGACGTTGCGACAGCAAGACGGCCCTGGGTTCGACTCCATTTGGGCCCCGTGGGTCACTGGGAACAGCGGCCACGGTGCCGCCGCCGCCGCCGCCTCCTCCGAATCGATCCCTCGGTTTTTTTTTGTTTCGCTCGCTCCCAAAAAAATGTGGGGGTCTTTAACGTCCACGCGCACACCCGCAGTCACGAACCCAGGGGCAGCCTGTCGGAGTCCCAACCCCGCCAACATCCGCGGCAATTTTTAATGTATTTATTTATGAGTTATGACCGCGCTCGTTTAGTCAGCAAAAGCCTCTGCGAGTCTCAAGACCCATGTTTCACGAGGGTCCTGCCAAGTGTGTCGCGGTAGGGGACGATGCTGCTGCTGATGTTGTGAGATGCCATGTGGTGAGTCATTTGCAGGGAATTTTACAGCTTTGGAATGATAATAGGGGTTTTCCCCTTTTTTTCAGGCAACAAAACTGAAACCACGTAGGTAAAAATAAAATGACAAAAATCACGACGTTTCGGCCACAACACAAGTGGCCTT